GCATCATGTCTTACTAAGGAGGCCAGGAGTGTCTTTGTGGAGATTAAAGAGGTGAAACAGAACTTTGAAAAACTGGAGTCACAAGTAGAGCACGGTAGAGGGAAACCTCAAGAAAACAAGAAGCACAGCAAAAAAGCACAGTGAGGATTATGATCGTGCAACTAGGGAAGTAACTTCCCCCTGAGAACGCTCAGCTCTTTCCCCAGAGACCAAATAGGACACGTCAACATGATGATTGCTAGGTAACACGGGGCCCTGATGCGTAAGTTGCATCTGCACTAGGACAGAAATACAGATGATGTATGAATACCTGATGGGGTGCTATTGAAATGGGCTACCCTGAGAAGAGTGGCTCTAGTAACTAAGAGATTCATGGCAGGATAATTAAAAACATGGCCTCTGACATTATTATAAGAGATGTTGTCTATTGCAGGATATGAGGTTTTTATTTTAAGCCAAGGTGATTCAGCGCCTGCCCTATGTAGCTCCTCTCATTTCCATAAACCTGAACTTGTGGGCTGCTGCCTAGGTAGCTGTGAAAACTGCTCCAACACAGGGGGACATCTGCCCCTGACCTTCTGGAAGATCATGATTCTATGTTGTATTCTGAGCACAAGTGTCAAATGTGGCCATCTGCATGCTGCATTAAACACAGGAAGTTCTTCTGTCCCCATGATCAGCACTGCAGATGGGTTAAAAACATCAGAACATTTAAGCTGTAGTAGAGTATATCAATGAACATATAAAGTTTAGTACATGAGAAACGGAGTTTAGGCAAATTAGGAAAAATGTAAATGTCAGATTGCAGAAAATGAATTGTAATCAATATTTTGGAAAAGAGTAGAACACAGATAAACTTTAAATAGAGAGTTAACAGCGCCTAATTCCTATTTGAATCACATTTCAGAAAAGTCATTTTGTCTACAATATGTGTCAGAAAAATGACCAGAGTTCAGTTTAGTTAAAGGCGATGGAAGGTCATTTGGAAATTGCTGACGAATTGGTAATAGAGGACTGATACAAGAGGTATTTCTGAATAAACTTCCCAGAACAGAGCAGCCACTTGAGACTTGAGGTGAGGGCAGTTGTGGGGAGAGGACAGGGTCACTACCTAGTATAGTCGCTAGTGGAAAGACCTGATTGACAATACAATACAATTTACTTTCAGGGCTTCTTGTCATGACAAAGCTCAAAGTTGCCAGGATTAATAACTTAATTACTTCTAAAAACTATTCAAGATTTTTGCACAAAAGTACACGGAGCCCATTACAAGAATAGGAAGAAAAAAGAACATACATTGCTTTTCTTCCATTTGCGAAGAAAAAACAAAACCTGTGTTTTCTCCTTTGGGATTTAAGAAGAAAAAGTCACTTTTATAATGCAAAAGTTGGAAAACAAACATTCTACTTTTTCTTTTCTAAATTATCTGGTAGCCTTTTCCATAGGACTATTACTGATTATATAAATGGAAACATACACAAACACTTTTCCCATCTTCTATTTCTTAGAATTTCCACTCATTTCCTTTAGCTCTTTTTTAACCTTGTTTTCTTTATACCTGACAGAGTCTGCTTCCCTGTCTTTCTTCTCCACTGAAAAGCCTCGCTTTTTTACTTGTACTCCTGGGATTTGAATGGTTTAAAATGGAGCAATTTTCACTTTTCCAGAAAAAATGTATGTCTTGAAACTTCTTTAGTTTCTGAACTGAACTGAAAAACTCTCAAATTGTAGGCAATACCCTTGAAGTGTTAAAGAAGGATGACACAGTTTTTTTCAAGTTTCTGTAAGTGTATGTCATAAAATGTGAAAAAAAAGAGAGAGAGAACAAAGAAAAACATTCATTTAGGAGTGTTATTTTGTTTCTAGAATCCTTGAACTGTCTCTGGTCTTCCCTAGGATTTTTTCCCAACATATCTTTACATGTTGGAACACGTAAAATGCATCTACAGATGTCTTCTGCATCTTAAACCCTTGTGTGAGAAATCATCTCTCCCAGATAAACCAGTAGTCAAAATACAAAATGTATTTTTAAACTTGTTCTCTCATAAGGATAAGCCTACTAAGTAGGAAGAAAGAGAAGTATTGCATATTAACCCCCCCCCCCAAAAAAAAGTAGTTCAGTCCATACTAATCAAAATGAATGAGTTTCAGGTGAAGTAAAAGGAATTTCCTTCAGCTATGTACTGAAGGATAGATTCCTACCTTCTTTTCAAATTTTAAGACATTTTCTTTCTCCTGTCTTTTCAGGAAATCAACTTCTAATAATAGGTCATGTGAGTTCCTAGACCAGATCCTGCTTCACCAAGGTGGTAAAACTGCTGTAGGTTTTACTAACTGTGAAGTTTTAAAAGCAATTCTTCTCAACCACAATAAAAATGGCATGACTTTGCTCTTGAGAACATTTATCTCTTGAGCCAGCAAGCTGAGAAACAAGTCAAAGAAACCATAGGAGAAGAAGATTTAAAAGTTTCAATGAAAAAAATGTGACTCAAGAAGCTTAACTATTTGGAATGTCTGTGTGTCTGAATCTCAAAGTTAATGAGATAGCACACTGGAGGAGTATTTGAAAATGTATGATATACCCCCTTCTTCTAAAGTGCATCTAGACTAAAGGTAAAAATCATTTTACCATTTTGCTGATAAGATGTGCAGAAAGATTCAGGGTGGTGGGTAAGAAAGAAATTAAATTGTTTTTATGAATACAATTTATTACACTGATACTATAAAGAATCTCTACCACTTGACAATTGTGTGAAACTTAGTTTGTAATCTAAACCTTGTTATCCTTGATATGAAATAATAGACCATGCATTAATTTTCTATAGTTGATATAACAAACTATCACCAAATGAGTGACTTAAAATGACAGATTTATTATCTTACAGGTCTGGAAGTAAGAAGTCTACCATGAGTCTCATTGGGCTGAAATCAAGTGGTCAGCAGGAATGCTTTCCTCCTAAAGATTCTAAGACAGAATCTATTTCTTAGATTTTTCTAACTGGTAGGGGCCACTGGAATTCCTTGCCTTGTGTTCCCTTACTATTAAAATCAAATATGGCTAGTAGAGTCTTTTTGCCTTACTTCACTCAAGTGCTTTCCTTCCTCTTAGAAGGACTCTTGGCATTACAGAAATCTCTCTCCTTCAAGGTCAGCTGATCAACAACCTGAATTCCATTTGGCAACCTAAATCCACTTGTCATGCAAAACAACATATTCACAGGCTTGGGGGGATAGGACATGCATCTCATTGGAGAAATCATTATTCTGCCTACCATAAACTTCAACAGGTTCTTATGAGAAATAAGTGATAAGACAACATATTATACAAAATGCTATACAGTGCCTATATCAAGTCCCCAATAAATATTATTCACATATTAAATATATAGAGATCTATATGACTCCGTATAGGCAACCTAATTCATCTTATCAGGCTATGATAGTCAATTTTTTTTAAAAATCGTTAACCAAACCCTCCTATTTATGTCCACTGCATTTTGAATCATTCCCATTGATATATCCCTTATAACTGTTCAGTCTAGTTACAGATAGAAAGTATCCTCACATACCCTCTAATGAGATCATTATCTTAGCAGTGAACATCATAGTTTGCTAAGAGAAATTGTCCACTTTACTAGAGTTAGCACAAAGACACAGTTAGTGAGTAAGCAGCACACATCTCCAAAGAGAAGTCAGACACAGAACATTGAGAAGGAACTTCTAAAGGGAAAACTGGGAGCTTCACTGCTTTCCTTTATGCTCTATTCATTTTTGAGATCTAAACTGCTGCTGATTTTTCATCTTTTAATCACTTAATAGAAGTGAAGTGTCCTTGGGAGACACTTCAAGGAGTAGTACATATTGTATCCCATTGATTATAAGTTAATTTGATCTTTTAACTCCAAGTTATTGAGTTTCCCAGGTTTCTAAAAAAATACCTTTGGAGGACTATTTGAGTTTGCTTTTTTTGTACTTATAAAACCTGTACAATAAAAGTTGGGGTTTTTGTTAAATTACATATAGCATAATAGGTATACAAAGCTTATATGGCATATAAATTTTTCCCAGTAATAATTAAATCATGTAAGGGTAACATATGTAGTAATTAATTTAGTTTAAATTAATTTGGTTTGTTTCAGGCAAAAATATACCCATCAAAGGATATCAACTAATATTTGTGGCATTATTTGCCTTGGAAACCATGATTATTAATAAGAACATACATTTGGAGAAGTTAACTGTTATAGTAAGATAAAAGGTTAATTTTTATAAGTCGACTATAAATCTAATCCAATGAATATTGTGCTTTACTAAAGCTAAAAAGGGGCACTTTACCCTTTCTCGTATTCACAATTAATATCTTTCTTATTTAAAAGATTTATTTAAATCTCAAATGTCACTATGTTTACTATACATTATTTGTGAGTTGTTGGTGTTAAAATAAGAAGTATTAATTTGATGGATACAGAAAGAAGTTTAAAGAAAATGTTTAGGGATTAAATTGACTGTATAAAATATGAAAAAAATACTTTCATCTGTGTGAACCTCAAACTATTTAGTCCTATGATGCTTATAAAAATATTAAAGATTAAAAAAATTTTAAAAAGTCAATAGGAATAACTTTCAGAGTCAAAGCTCTGTCTTGTTTTTTTGTTTTTTGTTTTAAATAATTGAAGACCTGTCAGGCTCAAGGGCCCTGACAACTGGTGAGCCAAGAGATCTCCCTGAACCTTTGCCATCTCTCCTCTTTAAAAGTGTTATTTGATCTTCTGAGAGTTCATAAAGATCCTAGTTCTGCAAAACAAAATATTTGTTACCTATGGAACCAAAATGGCTTCAAGTAGACAAAGCAGGATTTGCATATCTGTTGACTCAAAATTCACAACAACATCAGTAAGAGTCCCAGTGTCCCAACCAAACTCAAATCCCTTTATACCCCACCATATCTGGCTAAGTACCACTGAAAACACAGACAGACCCTCAACATATTCTCCACTCACTTGGTATACTGCGAAGTGGAGGGGGAGGCACATTGTTTACACTTAAAATATGAGACAAAATGGCTGTTGGAAAAGAAGATATAGACATCTTGATGGCCCAAAGCTTCAAAGGATCAGAGGCTGCTTGAGAGGCTTATGGCCTCTGTCTTAAGGCATCATAAAGCAGAACTCTCAAGGTACTCTCTGATAGGTTGAATACTACAGAATCTTATTGTTCACAATTCTTTTATGTATATACAGTATTTCCAAGAGTGATATCTAGACCAAGAAGTTCTACAGCCTACTCATGTGAAATCTCTGAAAGAGGCTTTGTGGACTATAAAAAGTAGTTGGAACTAAGAAGGAAATTATTATCCATCACACAGATTAAACAGAATCGTCAGTACATGAGTCTAGGTCAGATGATAAAATTCACTTCATTGGTTGTCTACCACACTGTTATTTTCTTTTGTACTATTGCTTACTTTGGATATCAAAGACCCTTTTTTGAACAGCATATTTACATGGTTATCCATGGCCATGATAGGAGATAAGGCAAAACATCCCTTCTCATCATCACATACCAATACATTCATTCCTCCTCCTATTTTATTGATATGTACTAAATGTTTTGGCTACTTTCTGCTGCTTCCTAATAATTAAAGCTAGTTACAATAGCTAGGTTTTAGAATCCTGATTAATGAACACTTTGATTCTATGTAGCATCTCTGAAGACCTTTAAAAATGTGTTCTTGGTGTCTTAACTATAAAGACCTGAACCTAATTAGTGATAGCCATTTATTAAACAGCTATATCTGGAAAAATTAATAACCAGAATTGAAACTTCTACTTGTAATCTAAAAGTAACACATTTATCTCAAAATAGTTGCTATTAAATTGTATCTGAACAATAAACTTATTTCACCATAGTTTTTCAATTGATAATATTTTTCCTGTCCCCAGTTTTATAAAAGCTGGATTCACTATAGACAATTTTGTTGAATTTCAACAGTGCTTTTCATCTTTTATTTCTTCTACCCCAGACAGACCCTTTCACTTGCATGGTTCCATCTCAGAAGACTACCTTGCCATCCCAACACTAAATACCACTGCTTCATTTGGCAAACTGACCCATTCTCTGCCCACTTTCATATTTAAAACTCAAAAAAACCAAACACGTCTTCATGAAAGTTAATTGTGAAGTATGCCTCTATTTTTCATGTCTCTTTAACAGACAGGACTATATTAAATGACTTCCTCATTTGGTAAGTAATTTTAATAAAGGATTAAAATGAAAAATTAAAGAAAGAAGGTATTCTAATGGCATAAATTCATACTGGGCAATATCCTCCCTTTTTCCAATTTCATCGGTACTTATTTTTTTAATTTTCTTGATTTTTTTTCCTTCTTTTCTAAATTTTTATCTCTTTCTGTATTTCATACTCTTCTGTATTACACAACACCACAGTAACTTTACATTCAGCTGGCCTTAACTGGAAAACAGTATTTTATAAAGAAATAGGAAAGGGGACAATGAAAGTAAACTAAAATTAAGGAGAAAATAGCAAAATAGACAACTTTAAAAATTTAATTTTATTTATCTACGCAATCTTATATTTATAATTTTCTGTATCTGCTTGCTTATATCCAGAGAGAACCCGTCAAATTACAAATTCAGCCAATTTTTTTTTTTAAAGATGTATTTATTTATTCATACAGAACTGGGGTACAGGCCAGAGATGCGGAGGGTGAGAGGATTCACCAGAGACAGAGCGGGGAGCAAAACAGGCAGATCGACGAAGTACACTGCTGAGGGGAGCAGTGGGCGGGTCAGGAGAGGTCTGCCACGCCATGTGGTCACCTCCGGGGCAGGCGGGAATCGAACTCATGAGGAAGCGGCTTTAGATTCTCAGTGCTGTGCTTTAACCCGCTGCGCCACCAGGGTGGGCCCAAATTCAGCCAATTTTAATTAGACCTTCTGATAATAGTCTGAGTCCTCAAAATTCATCCCAAGAACAATAATATAACCACATGATTTGTCTTTGATGAGCAGCTATATTAAATTGTCAACGCCTGGCATTCCTCAGAAGTGTAACCACTTTAAAAAAAAATTTTTTTTAAAGATTTATTTATTTATTCATACAGAACTGGGGTACCGGCCAGAGGTGAAGGGGTGGTGAAAGGATTCACCAGAGACAGAGTGGGGCACAGAACAGGCAAATGGACGAAGTACACTGCTGAGAGGAGCAGCGGGAGGGTCAGGAGAGGTCTGCTGCGCCATGTGTGTCACTTCCCTGGCTGGGGATCGAACTCACATTGAAGCAGCTGTGACCAGCTTGCAGTGCTACATCCTAACCCACTGCACCACCAGGGAGGGCCTCTAATCACTTCTTAAGTAGTTATTTGTAAAATAATCTTGACAGAGTGACTTAATCTGCCCTATTTTCAATATATTAATATATACAGTAATGATAATGATAATATACAAACATTATAAAAGTTTAATTAAAAAAATGAACACTATGGGGCCCTCCCTGGTGGCGCAGCGGGTTAAAGCACTGCACTAAGAAGCTTAAGTCACTTCAGCATGAGTTCGATCCCCGCCTGCCCTGGAGGAGATCCACATGGCATGGCAGACCTCTCCTGATACGCCCACTGCTCCCCTCAGCAGTGTACTTCCTCGATCTGCCTATTCTGCTCCCCACTCTGTCCCTGGTGAATCCTCTCACCCTCCGCATCTCTGGCCTGTACCCCAGTTTTGTATCAATAAATAAATAAATCTTAAAAAAAAAGAACACTATGATCCTACTATAGTTTCTAGCTGTAATAATCACAAAATTATCATATTTATTATATAATAACAACATTATTGCTGAGGTAAGCCAAATATCTTTTAAATACTTAAATCACTTACCAGAAAAGATAAAATGCTATTGTGGCAACATGGATCAGCTGGAAGGAATATTGCAAAATGAAGTAAGTGAGAAGGAGAAAGACAAATATTGAATAGTGGCAATAATATTTGGAATATAGAGGAACAAAACTAAAGGTCAGATAAAGACAAGCTTAAAAACTAAGCCTTCAGGCCCTTCCTGGTGGCACAGTGGGTTAAAGCACAGCAATAAGAAGCTAAAATCACTTCAGCATGAGTTCAATCCCCAGCGCTGGAGGTGATCACACAGTGCTGCAGACCTCTCCTGGCCCACCCACTGCTCCCCTCAGTCAGTGTACTTTGTCAGTTCTGTTACCCACTCTGTCTCTAGCGAATCCCCTCCCCACCCCTGCACCTCTGGCCTGTACCCCAGATCTGTATGCATAAATAAATAAATCTTAAAAAAAAAAAAAACTAAGCCTTCAAATTTGACTATAGAGCTGAAACATTCAGAACGGGTAGTGGTGAGGACAAATAGGAAGCACAATGGTCTATAGTAGTGGACTATGGATGATTTGGTGGTGGGTGAAGAATGGTGCAGTAACTGATGGAGATATCCAAATTTTTCTTCAATTAAAAATAAATCAATAAGGCCCTCTCTCATTGCAACGGGTTAAAACATAGCACCACAAAGCTAGTCACAGCCACTTCAGCACAAGTTTGATCCCCAGCCAGGGAGGTGACTCACATGGCACAGCAGACCTCTCCTGGCTTGCCTGCTGCTCCCCTCAGCAGTGTACTTTCTTGATCTGCCTGTTCTCCTCCCTACTCTGAATCCACTCAGAGCCCTGCACCTCTGACCTGTATCCCAGATCTGTGTGCATAAATAAATAAATCTTTAAAATATTAATTAATCATTTTTTAATGTTAAAAAAGTTTTTCCATGTGCTAGTATATAACAATACTTGCCAAAAATATACATAGTCTTTAAGTATACATTGAATTTAAATCACAAAAATGTGTGGACTTTTATTTGAGTTATTTACTTGAAGATGGGAATCAAGGTGTTTTCAACAAATGTAGCTACACAATTTGTATTATTGCTCACAGTTAAGATAGCTTTTTCAAAGGTATCCTAATCACCACGGTGATTAACGGTGAGTTAAGCCCTATTTTCAGTATTTTATTTTCATATGTGTGCAACTTTTTCTTATGAGAAAAGATAAGTCGTCAACTTCCTGTAAATCTACATAATTTTAGAAAGTAGGCTATCGAAATATTTACCAAAACAATTTCTCTTTTGGTACAGAAATTCACAAATATAACACATTATATCCAAATAGATTTATTGCCTGGTTGGTAACTTGTCACATGTCCAAAGCTTCCATAACCCCTTAGGTCAGGCATGTAACTCTTTAATAGTAGAGTCTGGAGATCAACAAGCCAAATTCTGAACAAGCATAAAGAAAATAATACCTTTGCACTGACAAAGTGGATCAATATGTTACTCAGAAAATAGAAAATAAGATCAAAGGACAGAGAAAATATGCTAAGATTCCTGGCTTAGGGCTCCAAATGCAAAGAAATGAATCAGTTATAATAAATCACATTTGTACATTTACTTTATATTATTAATATTATTATGTGAAGGATGAAGTACACGTGGTTGTGCCATACATAACCCTTTTATGTATGACAAGTTACTTATATCTCAGTTTCCTGTAAATAGAAAGTGATTTATGCATAGGGTTATTTTGAAAAGTAGAAAGCTAATACAGCTAAAATAACACAGTTGTACAATTCATGTGAATTTTTATCCCTTTTTCTCTAGTTTTCCCTCTACATATATTTATGCTACTAGTTAGTGACCATAATAGCTCAGTCTTAAAGGATTGTTATAAGGACTAAATGAAATCTTTTTAAAGGCTTAACACAGTACTTTCCACATACAAATTTTCAGTAAGAGGTAAATGTGATTGTGAATAGGAAAAATGAAAATAAAACTAGTATTCTTGGAAATTTTAGATTTCCTCACCTAGTAAATCTGTGGCCTAATTTGAATTGGGTTAAATCTATTATTTAATTTGAATGTAACTGCTATACTAAGAGTAAAAACAAAACACTTTTTTTTTGTTTGTTTTATTGCAGCAACAGTGGTTTACAACACTGTATATGATTGAAAGGAATAGGTTTACACTTCCTCACATAAATGTCACCACATCACACCAACCCCCATG